AACTTGTACAAATCTTTCCATTTTCCAATTCGATCCGATCCATTCGTTCGTCGAGCTATTTACTCGATCGCAGACATTTCTGGAACACCTCTAACTTAACAGAGGGACAAATAGTCAATTTTGAAAGAACTTATTGTCAACCTCTTTCAGATATGAATCTATCTTATTCAGAGGGGAAGAACTTGCATCAATATCTCAATTTCAATTCAAAGATGGGGCTTTGATTCACACTCCATGTTATGAGAAAGATTTACCATCCGAAAAGAGGAAAAAATGAAACGAGTCTTTATCTAAAGAAATGCCTTGATCAAGGGCAGATGTATAGAACCTTTCAACGAGATAGTGCTAAGTAGCAGCCACTAAATAATTTGTATCCATTTTTCATGAGATTATGCATGGATTAGATATATCATGGCTCATTCTTCACAAAAAATTGTGTGTCTTCCACAATGGAATAAGTGAGATTTCGAGTCAGTGTTTACATAATCTTCTTCTGTCCCAAGAAATGATTCATCGAAATAAATAATGAGTCACCATCGATATCGACACATCTGCGATCGCCAAATGTTCGAGAGTTCCTTTATTCATTCAATCCTTTTCCTTCTTCTTCTTGCTGTATATCTCGTTCGTACACATCTTCTCTTTGTTTCTCGAGCCTATAGTGAGCTACAGACAGAGTGAGAAAAGGTCAAATCTTTATTGAGTTGCGAAAAGGATAGGTATCCCCATCTTCACTTCATTCTTTCTGGTTAAAGAATCTCTTTCTAGTTGCTCTGGAACAATTAGGAGATTCTTTAGAAGAAATAGGGTAGGGGGAGGGGGAGGGAGTTCTGCTTCTGGTGGCAACATGCTATGGGGTGGCGGTCCCGCTTATGAGGTCAAATCAATACGTTCGAAGAAGAAAGATTTGAATATCAATCTCACTCATAAGTATCATACCAAATCCCATCAATAGAATAGCTTTTTCGAGAAATACGAGACATCTAAGTCATACAAGTAAAGAGATATATTATTCATTGATAAGACAAAATGTGAACGGTTATTGGATTGATGAGAAAGAAAGAGAATTCTTGGTTCACCACCTTAACGACAGAAAAAAGGATTGATCAAATTCTATTGATTCTGACTCATAGTGAGAATTTCTCAAAGAATGATTCTGGCTGGTTATCAAATGATTGAACAACCGGGAGTAATTGACTTAGGAGACTTAGTGGACATTCATCTTTAGCAGAAAGACAGACATTCCTTGCTCATTATCAGACAATCACTTATTCACAAACCTCGTGTGTGGCTAATAGTTTGTTTGAATTTCCCATCTCATGGAAAACCCTTTTCCCTCCGCTTAGCCTTATCCTCGGGGGTATTTTAGTGATAGGTTCTATAGGAACTAGACGATCCATCCTATTTGGTCAAATACCTAGCGACAAACTCCTATCTTCCTTTCATTACAGGTATTTCTGAACAAGTTCCTAGATAACAAGCCTAAGAGTTTGATTATTGATTGATGATAGTGGCGGATGATAGTGAAGATATCGACCGTGACCTTGAGGCTGGAGCTTTTAAGATGAATGCGCTATGGATATGATGCCAGAAATAGACCGATTTGATATCACCGTAAAATTAGAATTAGCAAAAGCAATGTCTCCTGGCATATTATGGATTCCAAAGATGAATGATCTGGATGGATGTGAATGAGTCGAATTACTTTATCCCTTGGTCTATTAGTAAACTATCTCTCCTAGGATTGTGAAAGATGTTCCACCCACTAGAATCTTTCGACTGGAACGAGAATCTTGATAACCTAAACAAAAATGCAGAAGTGAGCCTACTCCTCTCTCCCCCTTTTTTAGCCAACACCATCAACCCCATTCATTTTTCACCTTGAATGAGTCCCTAAAATCTCAGATAAATAGAAGGAAAGGAGATCAAAAAGATACGTGGACGACTTGACTCTCATATAGGTCGGTCGGATGTTTCCATGAACAGTAAGCAGCGGATCTCCCCTATTTTGGGAAAGCTGGTGGCTTGAATTCTTTCAAGGCAAGGGGCCTGATCGACATTCTTGTTTACTCTGATTCGGTCGAGGTGGTTTTCGTTTACCAGCGCATAGGTGGTCTAAGTTCCTATGACTGAGTCTTTCTGACCCCTGTGAACATCTTTTCTTAATGTATTAAAGAGGGCCTCTCTAACCGGTGAAAAGTGGTGGGTGTCCACTAATGGCCATTCCTGGCTCGGCTCCGATAATGCAATTCCGGTAGGAGTCGGTAGTTTGGCACTGGATCCCTTCGGACCTGGAGAACGTGGGACGCTGGGTCGGGGTTTGGTGAACCAACTAGTCGCTCCTCTCCTTTACAGTCGAGCTGCTTCTCTCCTATTGATTCTTGAACTCGGTAATATAGGGTTTTGATTGAATGAATTGACTCTCCTTCACCTTGTAAAGCGTCTTCGCTCCTCTAGTTTCAGTATGGGGCCCCTTTTTCGTTGCCTAGATTACACCTTTAGAATACCCCTGAAGGGAATTTTGCTATACTTCCCTCAATCTTCACTTTACGCCATGCCGACTGCCCTTTCATCATAAGGCGTGGAATTAGACCAAGGGGAATCTCCATAGGAACTAGTCCCTTAGATTTCGCATGTAGGAGATCGAGACACTGCCCCAGAGCTATGGACAAGTAGATCGATCGCCCTATCTCGACAACTACATAGAGGGTCTGACGTTGTATATATGTACTTTGATTTCGTTCCCCCCGTAAGATCAATATCACAACCAATATTCTCAGAAAGGAGATTTTGAGATATTGGTAGTTGTCCGGTCGTACCCAAACAGTAAGATTCCAGAGGAAACTGCACCTAAGATCAATTATTTCGAGCCGGCTTCCGTGGAAAATTCAGACTTTCTTTTGGATGTTGCCATCACATAAAAACATAAACTTTGAGGCTCAATAGCTAAATTCATGGAAATTGAATCATGAGCCGAGATCATAAAGAGCATACTGCGAGTAGGAAGTGGAATTAATACAATGAATTCAAAAGCATCAAACCTCTCTTGTTCGAAAGAATCGAAACACATAGAAATGGTACCAGCCGTACTTAATAATAGAAGGATTTGGCAGAAATATGTAAAATTGTCCCTCCTAAAAAGATTATTCCAGAATAAATGGCCAATAGTTAGGAGAGGTTCGCCAGCAGCGAGCAGAAGTAAGGTCATTAGATACCTCAGGAAAGCCCGGCCAGAACCACACGTGCAAGTTTCCCTACATGTGGCTCGTCCGTGATAACTTCTTCGGATTTGCGTGAACTAGCGAACCGATCACTCAGTGTGGATGCTCCCTCCAGCATGAGCGAACCCTTTCGAAACTGGTTAGGAATTGGCACCACGAGACCAGCCCGAATCCAGCCAGGTTCTCTTTCTTCTCATGTCCCCTTCCCAACAATTCTACCTTGTCTTGGGGCTTGGCTTTACGAGAGAAAACCCGCAAAAAAGTCTCTCTTCCTTCCCGTCCCGAATCATATTCCAGTGCGTCCACAGAAGAGGAAATCGCAATGCATCTTGCTCAGCAGGCGTAGCTTGGAGTGGGAGTGTATGTAGGGTGGGTAGTAAGGTAAGGAGGCCACCAGAGAGGAAGCCAAACGGCCTATTAAGCGCAGCTAAGCTTGGAGAAAGCCAGGTGTTGGAGGTAAGCTCTATTCGGGCCGGAGCATTGATTCCCCATAACGAATAGGCTAGCTCGAGATTTCAATTGCCTATCCTGTGTTTAAGAAGTTCCCACAGTTCCTCGGCACCACCTCGAGGTTTTGTTGTCTTACATGAGACTCGAGATATATATTCCTCACTCCATGGCACCTTTCGCTCATCCATTCTGCCCGTGCAGACGCCCTTTTTCATTATCATCTACTGCCCTTTCTTTCCTCCAGGCTATTGACGCATGAGGATTGTCGTATGTATGCTCAACTTCGGGTGCCGGTGCTATAGGTAGGAGTACATTATGACAGGATCAGTCGCCGGGGCAAAACAACCCTCCTCCAAGAAGAATTGTGCTATGCCCCCCCGATCCCTATAAATGGAAGGAGTTTCCTGGTGATCCCTAGGTTGCAGCACGTCTAGTCGTTAACTCCTCGCGCCGCTGTCGCCGTTTCTAGAACCGACCGATGGCCCACCTACACAGGTACCTACGTAGTGTAGTGTCGGTGGCACATTCAACATAGCGTTCGAACTCATGTGCCTTCCAGAACCAGGGGTCTTCAAGCCTGCTGCGTACGATTAGCCAGCCTTGCAGTGGCAAAAGGATTAGACGTCCCCCCATGCTACGGTTCCCTGCAGCCTGAACCCAGTGCCACATTTGGTTAGGGAGTTGGGCGATAATAGCTCCTCTGCATCCCCGCGCTGCCCTCCTAGGCGCCCAACACTAAGTAATCCAAGCCAACCCACATTACTGATTAACGGTGGATAATCATATTTCTTAGAGGTACTAAATACAACTCCATGAATGAGCAAAATGAAAGTTGCATTAATGATAAAGATCTCTGGGGAAACCGCTAAAAAAAGATTGAACATGTGGGAGGATCCGAACGAATTATGCTTTCATTTCCCCCGTATAGAGCACTGAGTTACTTACGTTTTGGTCTTCAACAGGCAGGTTGCACTGACGACGACGACTAGGAGGGATCGCTAGACCAGCAGCCAGACCAACAATGAATGTGTAATGATTGTGATTCCACACAAGGCTCAACAATAAAGAATTTCATGTCGAAAGAAAGGGGATCCTCTAAACGAAAAAGGAGTCCATGACCCCGTGTATGAGGTCGAATTCCACACTTTTCTCTCGAGTATACCCACCATTACCAAAAAATGGACGTCACTTTGGGACACATGCAGATAGTCGCCCTATCGAAAGGGCTAAAAGTCAGCCAAAAGAGCTCAACCTCTTTTTTTTTAGTTCCCTTTGAGTTCCACTTCTCAAGGAAAGTCGAGTCTTATAAAAGACGCCACTCTACAAGGGAAGTCCCCGGGTCGTGTCTTTGCGAGTTCAGCTCAAACAAAGCTCACCCCTTCTTTCTGGGTCTTGGTCAGGAAGATGCAGATAAAACGCCAATAGCCTGATACGGCATAAGCCTTAAAGAAGAGAGCTATCAATCATCATCAATTTGTCTTTCTCTCTCTCTTCCGAAACGAAACAAAATCCGTCAATAAATGACGAACCCCCTTATACAGATGATAGGACAGGGCTAAGGCAGTAATCTCGACGGAGATTAGGATGAGCTTTGATGAATAAAAGAGGAATCTGTAGAAATTCTCATGGGTGAAGCAAATCAAACCCATTTTCAGACAAAGAAGATAAAAAAAACAAAACGAGAGTGGCTAGGAAAGCCCCGGAGATTTTATGGGAAAATGGAAACGTCGAAGTGAGCTGTGGCTTATAAATAGGAAGATGAGGAGATAATGGGCGAAGGATATTCATGATATTAGGTTCGATTTATGTTCTCTCACTCCTCTCCCTATTCTTTATGGTCGAGTAGCTTCGCTTATTCGCCTCTACACCTCGGGCTCATAGCTTCACTCCTTGATCGCGGAGCGGCATACCAAAAAAGAAAGAAAAGAAGAAGAAAAAGCCCATCTTCCATTAGGGCCCCTCTTTCACTATCAAGAATGGGGCGAGACTATATTGCTAGAAGCTGATTTTGCAGTCTTGGAAAATGAAAGAGAGAAGATTGCGTTCAATATTGCGTTCAATATTGCGTTTGACCTGATAGTTTATGGAGCTATTATCTTTCCTAAGCTGCGTTACCAACCGGGAAAAAGATTTGTTCTTTTTTTCCAAGCTCTCAGGATCAAAGCAAAGCGTTGCGCATGCGAAAATAGAAATCCGAGCGAGACAATCCCCGGCGGAAGATTTCGGCCTGGACCTGTTCTTCAAGGACCCCCCTGTCCTGGCTTTGAGCGACCCTTTCTTTCAGTTGGGCCTATACAATCGCCCTAATGTGGGCTGGATCCCTTTCCCCATACACATCCATATTGCGTTCCCCTCCTCAATCAACGGTAACTTCTACTTCTTCCCGTTGAGGCAGATCGAGATCCATGTCCCACCCAGGAAAAGAGTTTGAGCTCGATGCGCCTGAACCCCCAACCATCTTGACCTCGGCTAAGTTCGAGAAGCCGCTTACCGTCCGTACACTCATCCTAAGAATCAAAATTAAGTCCTTTTAAAGAGAATGCGAAAAGCTAAGATCCTTCTTTATTATCAAAATGAATAAGAGGTTGAGCTCAACATTCAACCTAAACCTTTTTTTTGATGTTGAGAACCCTAAGAAGATCTCATACTCTTTCATGTGGAATTATTGGAGTTTGTGAACTTTGAGTTTGGACTAAACTAATAAGGATGCCCATATATACGAAATTCTAAATGAAGAGCTCCCTCGTTTCCACCAACAATTGGCAAAAGAATGATGGGAATGAAAAGGAGCGAACGGGAAGCGCTTCGCTGATGTACTGACCCAACAAAGAAAGATTGTTGATAGTATGTGCCTCTCTTATTTCTTTTCTTGTTCGACGCTCAGGATCTTGCCCTCCCTAGGTACTCAAATCATAATGGAAATTTGTAAATCCCCATACTTCTTTCTTTTTCGATTGAGTCTATAGGTGTGAAATAAGGTTTATTATCGACCTCTCTATATGAAAGCGTGCAAAGATGCCTTCTCCCATAGGCTCAGAAAGAGCGCAACAAATCAAAGTGAGACCAGCTCGACTCGGATATTGAAGAAAAGTAGATTTGTGTGTAACCAACTCCAGCTCTGGGAATCCATAGATGAATTTTGAAGAGTAAAACGTAATCGAAGGAATCCATGCCGACCATGCCAATGATAGAGTACGACATATGAGCTCATACCCTTATGTGAGCTTACCAGCGCTAGCCTCCCCGCACGTGCCGATGTCCGCCTCGCTACTCTATTTTCTTTCATGCATATTCCACTAATTCCTGATTTTTAGTAAGGTATCATTACGCCCCTATGAAATCACACATTTTTGTGCACGTGGATCTAACTTGAGATCTATGATATTTATTGCTTTAACACATCCCGTCCTCTTGCTGAAAGAAATACGACCGACCGACGATACAGACAAATATGTGAGATGATCGATAGAGGTTCCCTATATTGGAGAGTGGAAGGAGAAGTCTCCATTTACATAACGGAAAGGATGGGAATGAAGAACAGGCGCCCAGCCCATGCATCCCAAGCAGAGAACTAACCAGGAATTGGCTGCATTTGAATAAAAGAAGGAACTCAACCGAAGAACTACAATTGAAACAAGACGAAGAAAGAAGAAAAACAAAAAACAAGAGATTTCTCAGGAAACCCAAAAACTCAAATCGAAATCGTCGAAAGCTTTGCTTTTGGTTGAATTTTGCTGTAGCTTGCTGATATGCTTATTCGAGAAATTCCTGACTCTCTTTGATATTCTCTATGGATTCTGGGCTAGATACCTAAGTTAGTAACTAGCATAGTGGGGGGAAAGCCTAACACAAACAAACAAAGAGTATTGAACCTTAATAAAAGCATAAGTCTGCCCCATGCTCCTTCGGTATGTTCTTGATTTCGTTCTTTCATGTGCTTTCTGGAATCCTAATTCTTCTTATACCGTCGCTCGGCGGATCCGCCTACTATAACATCAATCTCGTTGAAGTCAAAAAAAGGCCTATTTTGAGCATGTTCATTTCCTCTCGTACGTTCATGATATTGCTTGAACATGGCGCTCAAAGAAATTCACTCTAATGGACTTAGCTTGCTCGTGTAACAACTCTTTTCAAATGGGCTTGCTACCTTGATTTCTGACTTGAATATAGACCTTTGTCCTATTCTTTTATCGTAACCTTGGGTATTGCCATATACATCCTCCTTCGGCATGAAGAACGAGGAATTCCTCCTTATGGTATCGTATTCATTCTCCCATTCACGCCTTTGTTATATGTTCAAATAGAATTTCCTTTCGTAGGCTCAAAAAGGGATCGGTCATTCTTCAGATCTTTGTTGATTGGCCGACATGGGATAACCTATTTGAAAGAAAGAGATTTATGTAACGTCTTGGTGTACCAAACTTGGCTTATACACATTCTCGTACTATACTGCATCCGCCAGCCGAACAAGTAAGGGATTCCTCCCTCGGTGTGCTGGCTCCTGCTTTGCCTGATTGATTGGCTATTGAGAGAGAAGACATCTATGTTATACCAGTAGACGGAGCAGACATGGCAATCAAAAGAATGAGCCAAAACCGAACAAGCAAGGCCCCAAATGCCGACCTAAGAAGGACGCTTGCGGGAGAGTTTAGAGTTTCCCGACAGGTCGATGTACAACCGACAGGTGAATGCTTTACCAAACTCGTGTACAACTCCTTGAATGTGTATTGATTTTCGCTTAAACCATGCTTGGTTTCCTAAACTCTTTCTCCCCTGAACAAACTCAAAACCATAAAGAAAAGATCTCTATAAAAGCAGAATACAGATGTGCTGCAGAGAAGGAAGAAAGGCGAAGAATGCTATGAGAGCTTGGACGAAATAAGGTCTAGGGGAGACAGACCGCCTTTTTCTAACATGTGACGGGAAGACTAGTAAATAAAAGATTAGAGCAGTAAACTCGCAATATATACATCAAAATATAAGAAGGAGACAGAATATGAATGAAGGATTGAAGCATCTGACCGAGCTCTAGAGATGAATACCGAAAGAGCTTACCGGATGCACCATCGACCTCAGACAACTCGACCGAGCAGGGGAAAAATGAAAACAAAACGTAGTGGGTGAGCAGCAAATACCAATGAAGACCTGACCTGGAATTTCAAACAAGAAAACGAACAAACGTAGTAGCCTATCCGCGGAGGGAGATTCTCTAGCTCCACTCCTTAACTATATAGAGTGGAAAATTGAGTGGAAAACTACGCTTAAAAATCAAGCCCAAAAAACGAGACATTTGAAAGGTCCTACTGATTGACCCACTAAAGCCATGAAAGTGACCTTTTGGATTAGAAAAATGGCCTCTGAGACCCGAACCCGCGTTGATCGAAGAGCTGCTAACAAAAGAAAAGGGCGAAGGCAGGATGAACAAGAAAATAGCCGTAGACAGATGGAAAGACCGGAGACCAGAGACTGGAAGAAAACATCCATTTTTTGAAAAAGACAGAGAGAGATTAATGTGGACGGATTGAGCCAATGTTTTCCAAAATGTCAATACGAGAAACAGATTCGACTTCTATAGATTTTGCACCTTCAAAAGTTACAGGCTGAATTACAAAAAGAGATGAATGTTGACTTCTTCCTGCTACACGGAAGAAAGAAGATAGGAACTAATTCAAGCTAATTCGACCTTTGTATAGGGCCTGGACGGGACGAGTACGACATATTCAAGGGACCGATCCATCTCAGGATTTTCGGGACAGAGAGAGCACAGACCTCAGACCAATCGATTAAACTCATTATTGTAGAGTTTCCCGGGGACGTATTGAATTCAAGGTGTGCCGATTTCCTTATGCTTCACTTCAAAATAGGTCCCAACCTTCTGTGAACCTTAGCTGATTATCCATCTTTCAAACTATGCGGCTTGAAGGAGACGAACAAAGCTGTAAGACTAGAAAGTAAAGAAGAGGGAGGAGTTCATAGCGAAGCTCAGCTGGAGAGATTCGATGCTAACATAACAAAGAAAGTATGTAGGATACACACCTTTACCCTCAAAAACCCCTGTCTTCTGCTTACCAATGGGAGAGAGAACTTGTTGGACGTCTCGAGTGAATGCGGCGGGAATGCCATAGCAGAATGGGATACTAATGAAAAAAGCCAGAAACTAGACCGACCATATATATGGTTGATAGAAGAAAGACTGACTCTCTTTGGGAGCTTGTAGACACTGGGCCACAAGTCATAGAGTGACGGCTAATAAGCTAAGTTAGTATTCTAAGACGGAGGGAGCGAAGCTGGGAGACCGAGTTTACTGTTCAAGAATAAATAGGAATAGGAAAAGGAGCTGCATGAGATGAGAATAACCTATACAGGCGAGTCGAGTCAATGAATGAAATCCTGAACTTTACAGGAAAGAGAGGAAAGAAAAGAAAAGAGATGAATGAGAGTGAACTGGAAGTCAAGACTCAAGATGAATGAGAGCGAAGACTCAACTCTCGATGAATGAGATAGATTGAACTCAAAAACCTCTATTCTTGGAACTTGACAGGAGAAGAGAGTCAAATGAGAAGAAGGTAAAGGGACTGAACTGGAAGCAAAGCCGAAAGCGAAACCTTTTTTCTCTATTTATTACCTTCCCTTATTTATTGAGGTAATTTGCAAGTCAAGACTCAACTCAAGATTCATTCTCCTTTTCCTTCTTTCACGGTAAACTAAGACTCAACAAGAATAAATTCATTAGCTTAGCTGCTTTACAGGAGAAAGAGATGAATGAGAGTGAACGAACCCTCTTTCTCTCCTCTCCTTTACAGTCGAGCTGCTTCGCGCCTCTTCTCGTGGAGCTGCTTCGCCCGGTCTCATTTTACTCATTCGCCTCGTAAACTAAACTATAAGTCAAGCTCCTTCACTCCTGAACCTCCCCCTTATGAATCAAGGAAAGACTCAACTCAAGATTAATTCGACTTTACAGTCTTTGAATCAATGAATTAGCTGCAAAGACTCAACTCATCAAACAAGATGAATTCTCCTTCATCGATATATATGACCTGAGCTTATTGAACTGTAAACAAAGAGAAATACTCCAGATGAATGAGACTTAACTCCACTAAACCTTTGACTGATTGCCCTCGGTCTCATGGCTTCGTCGCTCCTGAACCGATATATATGCCCTTGATTGAACAGTAAGAAAAGAAGCAAGCTCCTTCCCCTAAACCTGGTGGAACTCCTTCCCCTAAACCCTCTTTCACTCCTCTCCCTATCAGTGGTCTCTCTCGTTGCTTCGCTCATTCTCCTATTCATTGTCGGTCCTATTGCTTCGCTCCTGAACATGATTTTACAAGGTAAAAGACAAAGAGAATGAATTGAAGAATAAAATCAAAGAAGAATCAGAGAAAGAAAGAGAGTTTACAGTGAAAGAAAGAAGAAGAATCAATGAATTAGCAGCTTCTTTGAAAGACGAAACTAAAGATGAATGATTCTGAACTACTTCCTGAACCGATATAACCTGACCTGATTTTCAGAGGTCAAAGTAGCTCCTTCACTACTGAACCTAAACCTCAACCTGACGAGAAAGAAAGAGAATGCAAGAATCAGAATCAGATATTCGTTCGAAACCAGAACCTTATACTCAATTACCTGACCTACACCTATTTATTCAAAGTAAACGAAGAGAAAGCAAGACAAGATGAATTATAGGAAGGAAAGAGGAAATCAAGCTTTATGAGAGTGAACTGGAAGGAAAGACGAAGAAAGATGAATGATGGGAATATAACTATACTAAGTAAGCAGTGTTCAGTTATTGCATTAAGGAAGTCAAGATGAATGAGACAAAACAAATGAAAGAAAGATCAACTCATTCACCTTCATTTTCTTTTTCTGCCTGAACCTCCCTTCCCAGAACCTTTACTGTCGAGCTACTCCTATTTCTTCTTTCTCTTTCAACTTTACAGGAAAGAAAAGAATAAGAAATCCTTCACCTCGGCTTCGCCCCTTTACTCTTCATTCTCCTTAACTCCTTGTTCCGTTCTTGTTCGGTTATTCTTTCATCACAAGGTAAATAGGTGTTCATTTAGTAGCTCTTTGATTGAACTGATCTTGATCCTCTCGCTACTTACTCATTCAGCCAGCTGAACCGATATTCCCTATTTATTCTTCTTTAACTATAACTGTAAACGAAGAGAAAGAGAAGCGACTAAACCAGAACCAGATTGGGTAATTAAGAAGGAAAGAGAGGAATGAGACTGAACCTCTATTTATTCCCTTTTTTACAGTTCAAGAAATTTGGGAGAGAGGAGACCATCAAATAGTGAACCCCTTGTTTACAATCGAGTAAATTAATTAGCTGCTTTTCAAGACTCAACCTTATTCCTATGTGTTTACAGTAAGAATGAAAGAAGAAGAAGAAATTCATTAGAATAGTTGCTTACAAGAGAATTGATTGAATGAAGAAAGAAAGGAAAGACTCTCGATTCATTCTCCATTTCCTTGACAGGCGAGTCAATTCATTAGCTGGCTGTTGAGTAAAGAAAAGATAAGAGAATTGAAAGACTGAAGATGAATGAGAGTGAAAACGAAAGAAGAATTAGACTGAACTACTAAACGAACCTGATTGAACGAACCCATCCTTTACAGTTTGTTCTAGAATCAATGAATATTCAATCCCGAACCTTTACTCCTGAACCTTAACCGATAAAGAATGAAAGAAGGGAGAGTCAATTCCTTTCCTTGCAGCTCAATCACCTGAACCAGAACTCTTGAACAAGGTCAAGCTATTTGATTGAATTCTCCTTCCCCTTATACGACTCTGAGCTTATTGTAAACGAGGTCGGTCTCACAGCTTGGCCCCTTTCCTCTGCATTCTGCTTTTCCTCTTCGTCTGGTTTTCATCATTCCTCTCCTGCCTGCCTGTAAGAAGGATGAATGAACCTATTTCTTCTTAAACGGATATTTCTCCTCTCGCAATTGACTCTTGACCCGGACCCTTCTTTCACTTCTCTTTCTCCCTTGAACTCGGTTGGAACGCCATATGGCTTGAGATTCAGGGGTTGCCGCTATAGCCGAACACGGGGGAAAGATCATTTATACCAGACAAGATCCTTTTTTCGGGCAATGGGTATACTCTCGGAATTCCATTAGTTTTGTATCAATGTTGAAACAAAAAGACTTGTATGCAGCAAAAATCCCAAATTCCACAGGGTAAATGCATTAAAAAAGGACAAGTGTTAGCAGACGGTGCTGCTTTAGTGGCGAACTTGCGTTGGTAAAAACCGTATTAGTAGCTTATATGCCATGGGAAGGTTACAATTCTGAAGATGCAGTACTAATTAGCGAGCGTCTGGTATATGAAGATATTTATATTTCTTTCCACATACACGGATACGGAAATATGAAATTCAAACTCATGTGACAAGCCAGGGACCTGAAAGAATCACTAACGAAATCCCACATCTAGAAAGAAGCCCGCTTACTCCGGAATTGAGACAAAAATGAATGGAAGGAATTGTGATGCTGGGATCGTGGGTGGAGACGGGCGAGTAGGTAAATTAACGCCTCAGATGGCGAAAGAATCAGCGAATGCCCCCGAAGATAGATTATTATGAGCCATACTTGGCATTCTGGTATCTACTTCAAAAGAAACCTGTCTCAAACTACATACCTATAGGCTGGGTAGGGGTCGAGTTATTGATGTGAGATGGATCCAGAAATCAGGGAAGGGGGTTCGAGTGAGAATCCAGATATGATTCGTGTATCTATTTCACAGAAATGGGAAGGAAATCAAAGTAGGCGATAAGGTAGCGGGAAGACATGGAAATCAAGGTATTCTTTCACAAATGGTGCCTAGAGAAGATATGTCTTATTTGCAGAAGACCAGTTGATATGGTTTGAAATCCATTAGGAGTCCCCTCACGAATGAATGTAGGACAAATATTTGTTTGAGTACTCACTCGGCCGGGTGGTTAGCGGGGAGTTTTCTAGATAGACATTATCTCATAGTACCTTTTGTTTGATGAGAGATATGAACAAGTGGCTTCTAGAAAACAACTAGTCTTTTCTTTCCTCATTCTATGAAGCCAGTAAGCAAACAGCGAGTCCATAGGTATTTGAACCCTAGTATCCGGGAAAAAGCAGATTGATGGAAGAACGGGAAATCCTTTTGAACAACCTGTTATAATAGGAAAGCCTTATATCTTGAAATGAATGAATCAAGTTGATGTTAATACACAGACGTTCGTTCCTGTGGACATTATGTACTTGTTACACAACAACCCCTTATAGGAAGGGCCAAGCAAGGCAGACAACGGGTGGAAGAAATGGAGGTTTGGGCTCTAGAAGGATTTGGTGTTGATTTTATTTGACAAGAGATGCTTACTTATCAATCTAATCATATTAGAGCTCGGCAAGAAGTACTTGGTACTACGATCATTGGAGG